GTTACCACACTCGCACATTGTAACGCATGTTGTGCGCCGGTCAATCCGTGAATATCGTTTCGATGATAAATGCAGCGTCGATAGATTTGTATCTCCCTCCCTCTTCATGCCTCTGTAAATCATTGCCGAGACATTTAACCTTGGCGTCGTGTACGAGATCACGTTGAACGCATTCCACAGAACTAATTTATGCAAACGTATAAATCTTACAGTCAAAGAGAATGACGAACAAAACTCGGTGATTAATGTAAATATTATTAAGACTCTTGTTGCCATCAGAATCACAGCATTTGTGTGTTGACAAAGTTTTTCGTGTTTTACTTTTTTTTAATAATAAATAATAAATTTGACCTTGCTGCCACAAAGTAACGACTTAAATAAATTTATAATGACCAGCCAGCATCAATCTATAATATATCTACTATAAAAAAATGAGTGATAACATACGAAGAAATTAATTTATTCAGATACATAAATACTTTTTCGCTTCTGATGTTACATAAATAATTCAATATATCCGCAGTAAGAGCGGATCAAGTAAAATTCTCAACATTCTTGCTCTAATGTGAAAAAAAAAAAAAACTTGACGTGGAGTGATTTCGACGTGACATCGTAACGACGACGGAGCGAGCATCCTCAAGACCGTAGGACTGTAGCTGTGGCAGGCAAGTGGGAGAAAGAAAGGGGCTCGACGAGGCAGGCACGATGATAATAACGACCGGCCGTCGGCCGTTGGGAATGTGCGAGGAGCTGAAGGTTGTATCGCAAGTAGGCGGAGCTACTGGCGCCAGGCGTCTGAATCTCCGTCCAGAGAGGTGCGCGAGATGCGTCCGCAAACTGGATAGGTATTCCTCGTGCCGTAGGAACCACCTCGCGCGACGCGCGCGGCGCGAGATACCATTTTCGCTGCCACCCCCCAGCCGAATGCGCGAAATCATCGCCACCTCATTTCGTACATTCCGAGAACCCGTCCCCAATGCGTGCATAGCAAAATTCATACACAACCTGCACACGGAATATCCTAAGTGATCGTCGCAATTGCGCAAACCGCATTACACAATCTTCAATTTTGAATAACCAATTGTATTGGATTGCGCGAAATAATTTTGGATTTTTTTATAGACGATATTATTGTTCTTTTTTATGCAGCACGCTTAAAAAATCGTGATATGGGTAAAACTTAATTACAATTTCAACGAACGGAAATTTAATTTACGTGTTAATCAAACTACGTTTTACTTGATTAAAAAAGGTAGATAGATTTATTTGAAAAATCTGAAATTACTTATTACATAACTCAATATCATGAAAATATATTTCACGTTAAGAGAGTATAGGCAAAATTAAATGCTTGAAATATTACTGTTATAATGGTTTTATGGTTTATTCATATTTCGCACTCTTAAAATCTTTAAATATTTTTTGATGATAAATTATTTCTAAACGTATAACGCTTGGTGTTGCCACGTAACTATTAAAAATTTGTCAAGCTCAACAATCAACAAATTCTTCGCATCAAAAAGTGTCATATAGATATTGCAATTGTAATTTATTTAAAAAACTCAAAGACTTTTAATTATTACGACGTAATAATTAAAAGCGCGTAGTATTTGGAACGTGACACGCTCGAACAAACACGTTAAACCGCGCGGTACTGCGTAGAACGGGAATCACTACTAATGAGATCATCGCGGTAGATCGCTCGCACCATCATGAGGGGAGTGAGACAAGCGGGGAGTAAGGGAGTCTTAAAACCGTTAACGATATCACTCGTCAATCACGCTGACGGCTAGCGGCCGGTGCGCAAAGAGGCGAAAGAAAAAAAGGAAGGAATTATACCGGCGTAATGCCGGAAAACGCGATCAAATCCACCTTCAGACAGAACGGCGCAGGCAGACGCGCGGGCGAGCCTTCCCAATCGCGGCTCGCATGAACGATCGCGAATCAAATCGCCGTCTACTTCTGCCACGACGAATAAAAGTAATTCCATCCGAGCGAGAGTGAACTTTTGCCTCGCGTCCCTACGAACATTCTATAATTCAATGTCGAATCCAGGCTCAAGAAGTCGATATTCATATCAATCTTCTGCGAAACATTTTTATTTATTTTTAATTTCATCTTAAGATAACGATATTTTTTACACGCCGCATTCATCATGAATTCGTTATCCCGCGCGATTAATTAAAAATTACTCGCTAATTTCCATTTTTTCCCTTTTAAAGTATCAATGATTGAAATACGACCAAATCAACCTGGATAAACGTGATAACGTAAAGCTATTAAATATCTATGAAAGGTAAAAATAGCGGTCTTTATTCTTTTTTTTTTTAGTTCTTTATTGTATTTGTGATAACAAACATTCTTCTCTACATAACTGCCAAGTATGCTTACAAATTTGTGTCTTGTGTATATCAAGATCAATACATTATGTTGCGCAAATTTGTATGAATTTACATACACTAGGAAAAATATTTAGTTGAAAAAACCAAATGTTTTTACGGTGATAAAAATATTTGGTTGAAATATGCTCAACCAAATTTATTTATCCTAAACAAATGTCTTTGTTAACAACATTTTTTCCTACAATTCCTTTTCTCGATATAACAACTAAAAAATAGACGTTTAATAAGCGACATCTAATATAGTGTATAGACGTTTTTGTCGACTTAAATTTCTCACTAGAAATTTAATTTTGCATTATTAAACTAACTTTATTAACTTATAGTTATTTGAATTAAATATAAAATCTCATTTTTATTGAAAATTTTCTAACAACTAAATTCTTTGGTTTCAAAACAACAAAATGTAAAAATTATTTTAGCAAAAAAACAACTAAATCTTGCATAATATTAAACACAATATTTGGTTGCTATAAGCAAAAATCTCAACTATAAAGTTTTATTAAAAACACTAAATTTTTTTCCTAGTGTGGACAGAGATCTTATTAACGTAAAATCCTTTTTTTTAATACCTTCAGAGTATTTATAAATGAGACAAATAATAAGATTTGTAAAAGTAATAAGATATGCTTGCAATCAGCGTAAATATACCCTATTTACAGCAACATCCAATGTTAACATGAGCGTGACATTTATGCAGAAATTACGAAATTCCTCATACAGATAAAAATATAACAATTGTTCTAATCTATCTCTTGATTCAACAATATAAGTTTTAAATAAGATCTATGTAGAAGCTTAACAAAGATAAAATAAAAATAACTAAAAAGTTCAATAAGAATATTAAAAAGTGTATAAGCTAAATGCTAAGGTTCAACCTTGCTTTTTCGCGTCATATTCTCTCCAGTTAATCCTATTACACTGATCTGCAAAATTAGACATTTTTTGTTATCTAGCGAAGAAGAGTACTCCTCGGTCATTTTTGTGCGCTAAATCCGAATCTGGCCTCAAAAAGTGAACATCACATCAGAATTTTGAAAAAATCAAAGAAAATTATGCTCTGAATAACGATTCTAAAGTAGCATTATAAATAACTATAATACAATTTTGAAAACATATTAACTTTTTTTAGAATGGATTTTATCTTTTTTTTACGATTGTTTGAAGCTGTTTAATTTAGAATTTAAGAAAATTATAGATATTTTATTATTTTTCATGCTTTTGAATTTACTAAGGCTTCTCAAATTTTTTGTATCATGCACACTTCAGGAAATTGAATTTAGTGCATAAAACCACTCTTCTTTTTCAATCAATAGATTTATGCAGAACAGTGTTATTATCACTAACGTTTTAGTTTGGAATTATAACATTAAATACAACTTTACGAGCAGAATTAGGAAACAGTCAAGAAAGATTTTCTCTTTTCTCCGCCGAAACATGCCATCTCGCAATGAGAAAGAGAGACAGAGAGAAAGAGAGGGAAAACTACGTAAAGTAATAATTGCAGCACTGGTATTTCGAATATGCAATTACTTTAAAGCACCGAAATACCAGTATTTTAATTTATCGATATTTTCTACGGTATTTATTAAAAGTTTGATCTATGAAATCCATATGAAAATTGGATCTAACAGATTGAAATTCATAGAGATAATTTATCATGTTTGAAATCGAACGACCGAAATAAGAAGCCGCGCAATCTTTTCTAGTGATACTATTTAATGATGCATGACACGTACGTACAGTCGAAGCTCTTGAATTGCGGGAAAAACGCGGGAAGAAACAAAAATGCTTGAGATTTCCTACAGTTTTCGCGGCGCATCTGATGAGTCTTGTGATGTCATCGGCATCACCGTGAACGATTCACGGACCGTCCCTTTTCGCCGTTTGCGAAAGCGACCAGTGTGTCGCTCCGGCATCGAGGCGGTGACGTTCCTCTTAACGGGAACGGAGAACGTAACGCGGAAAAGCGAGTGGCACCCCGGCACCCCGTGGCTGTTTGACTTAATTTTACGAGGGTTCGCCTGGAACGACGAGGGTGGCATCGGAGGAGTGGAAACGCGCAGTAGCGACGGCGACGGCGGCTTAGCGGATAAAAATTATCCGTTTAAAGTCTCGAGAAGCGCTATAAAAGTGCAGTTAAGCTTTTCGACGGGGCGCTCGTGGACTCCTCTCGCGCATTCTCGCGCACAGATAACTATAATTGGTAAATAACCGCGTTTAGGGGGTTGCGGAAATTTCGAGAAATTAAGACCTCGGCCTATATATATATACTCTACGTAGTTTTGAGTTTCCCTTCTGAGAATCTGACTTAATTCCATCGTGATAAGATGCGACTGTGCTTCAATGAGCGTAATACAGCGGCGCTGAAACTCTGTTAAGTTATGCCCGCAGAGTTTAAAACATTTTTTTATAAAAAAGAGTTCCTCCGAGAGAAAATTTTTCTAAAAAAAAAATTATAAAAAACGTTCCCCAATTTCTTTTTAATTAAGTAATGACTTTAGTTGAAACGAAACTTTGCGTGCACCGAAGAGACGAGTGTAAGAAAAATGTCTTGAGGTCTCGTTTCGAGAATTGAAAGAAATCCGAGAAGAGAATAGATGAACGCTAACGAGAAGACGAATGCGACCCTAGCTACCCCTGGTCAGACGTCTCGTTCTACTCGAGAAAGAAGAGTGCGCGCGCGCGCGCGCGCGCGTGCGTGTATGTGTGTATTTGTATGCGAGCAAAAAACACCTGATATTTATGGTCCAGCTGATCGGCCGCTCCGCTCGCAGATCGGATCTCACTAAATCACCAGTCGGTGTACGCTTAGGAAGGAACTAGCTGCGTTTTCTCGCAGCCCACAGGCGACCGTAAGGTTCAATGTACAGTGACGAAGAATAGAAGAAGAAATCGATGAAAGGGAAGTTAAAGTCCTCCTCCGCACCGTCGCTTAGCGCCTGACACGCTTTCCGAGCGATGTATCGTACCTGAAAAACTGTCCATGGGATAAGGAATATACATATTATATGTCACATAGCATAATTGTCGTTTTTTCAAATAAGCAACGTGAAACTTGTGCAATCTAGGAGGATAAAAGTATTTTGTGTAGTTTCGTGTGGAGATAGGCAAAATATTTGATTTCGTAATTATTATTATGATCTTATATTGTTTTAAATTCACTTAAAAATCCGTAAAATAATATAGTCAATAATATTTTATCAAAGTTATACAAAAAAATTTGAGATATAAAGAAGACAATATAAAAATGAGTGATCAAATCTTTTCCGAATATTTCAAAAACGCAAATAATTACATTACATGGTTTTGTAAGAGGCATTCTATGCAAAAAATGTAATTAAATAATTTTTTTTACAAAGAAGAAATCTGCGCTTCAAAAAGTAAATAACAAATTCATGCACATTTGAGTTAATTTATGATTTACATGAATTTACAGTTGATCTATTGATAGCTTACGGATTAGGTTGCGCCGAACCTGTCCATTGTGAGAATGTGCATGCAGCAAGAGAAAGCAGGGTGGTTTGATCTGATTAGCGAGTATCGATCGCCTTTAACGAGCCGATTGTCCGACTGGGTCAGGGTGGCCTTCTTCAGGGTCGTTATACCAGAAAAATTATGATTGTATCGTTTCTTTCGTTTAGATACAGCTATCTGTCTATTTTTGTATCTTCTACATTAATGGAGGTAGCGCAAATGCAAAATAATTTCAGAGCTGCGTTAAAAAAACATACTTGCAATAAATTTTCGGAAATTAAAAATTTTATGTCACGTTTGTAGAAAAAAGATACATTATGTATTTATTATGAAGAAAAGAATGGAACTTTTGAATTGATATCATGTATAAGAAAAATTACTATGTGAAATGAAGTGTCTACGAAATAAGAGATCGTAACAAAATATTTTTTTTCTACATTGAATTATACATTTATATATTGAATCAAAACGACTGAGAAAGGTCATCTTCGACACATGCCGCAAATCAATTCTATTAAAGTCGAGTAGTGGCACGCAAAAAAATCGAATTTATTTTGATGGTTGTTACAAGAAAAAGATTCATATGATCTTCCGCTTCTAACGTCATAATCCACTATGACTGAGTTACAAGATCAGAGCCTTAATGTTTGATAAATGTAGTCGTGGTTATGGTATCACGATTGCTCGGTCGCGAGTCGAGTAGGACTGGGTCAAGGTGATCGTCTTCTCGTGATCTTCTTACTTCCGCGCGTCCCTCCGCAGATTTCGTTCATTCGGCAAATGTTGGACCCCGTCGGTGAACATGTACGTACATGTATATATCTGATTGTGCATGTATGGCCCGTCTTTGTGTAGGTACGTACGGATATAACCTACGTGCCGCATCATCAACCACCGCGAACCTACATCGTCATCAGAAGTGAAAGATGCTGGCGTCGCCAAATCTTTCCTTTCTCCGCCTTCTGCACGCGGTGAGAGTAAATGTGACGTCACCGGCTTAAAGCTGCCGAACGAAATGAACCGATTGATTTGTACTTCACCGGCAGGAATTAAAAGCCGGTATAATTTCAGTGAGTTTAATTTTCAACGGTGTCGCGCTGCCAAGCGAAAATGTGTGATCTCTGTTATTTCACGACAGTATAAATACCTATCTATCGTACAGAAATGCAGAAAAATATATAATGTAGAAATCAATTATAATAGGAAAAAAAAAAACAAATTACTCAAATAATTCATTAGGTTCTAAATAATGCATTGAAAGCTTCTTGGATCTTTTTGTCTGCAAGCACCTATACACATCGTTGTATGCGTCTTGATAACATCAGGCTATTTGATCATACAAGCACAAGAGCTCTCTCGAGGCCCAACAGTGCGTGTACGGTCCATGTTATCAAACGTGAGAGAGGTATCAGCTTAGCAAAAAAAAGTATGTGGGACTGATTAAAAGATGTCAACAAGACGTAACAACAAATGCGTCGTGCGTAGTAACGATTTATTCGTTCCATTGCTACAATACATTTCGTGTTCGAGCAAAAATATCGAATTTACGTGTAATGAAAGGATCATTTCAAAACTCTTCGAGATAAAGAAAATACTTTTACGTTACTTTTTTATGCATTGTGGCATTAAAAAATTGAAATTGTAAAAAATTTATTTTGTGTTTATTTCGTATCTAAATGCGTCGGAAAGTGATTTAATATTATTAAACCGTCGCATTCTTTCTCTTTGCCAAAAATTTTATGTCAACTCCACTTCTTTTCTTCTTTCTTCTATTAGCCGCAAAAAACATACAATCCGTTTAATTAGTTTAATTAGAATTTACTTGATATATAAAATATATATTGTTTCTATAAAGAGAAAATATTAATCACACATATAATAAAAATTATTTCTTATGGAACAAATGTTATTTCTGCGAAATATCTCTTGAGATTTTTTTATATATTAATAGTATTTTTATTTGCTCCACATTTATAATAATTCAGTTTTGAATAACTTGTTCGCGTAAAATTTTTTTCAACTTAATTTTCTATTTATTACTACAAATCTAAAAATGCATAGTTACGAGAAGATAGGGTGAAAACCGAAGCTGCATGAAAAACACGAGAAAGCGAAAGGGGTAGATCGTCTACGGCGGCAGGGAAAGCGTCGAAAGCGGAGGGGTCGCGTAGAAGATAGAGATAGGCCACGATGCCGGCGTGACTTGACAATAAAGCTCGTCTCACCTCTAGCTCGTTTCCGAGGTTCCCGGGTTTCGCTTCCTTTGTCACCCCACCTGTTTTGGTCGACACACCAACGCACTTCTACACGGCTCGCCACGCCATTGACTATCTTGCCTATCGCTCATGGACCGGCCAGCCACTCGACATAACGCGTGCAAGAGTTATAAAACGCGAAACTCGAACCGTCAAGCGATCCTCTCTCTCTCTCTCCCTCTCTTTCGCTCTCCTTCTCTTTCTCTCTCTTTGCAATATCACCACTCCCCTCTGTTCAGCAAGAGAGCGCGAAAAATACAGGTCCTAAACACGAAGCCGTGATCACATCACACGATGTATGTATAATCAATCTTTTCGCAAATTTTTCTAGTTTTTTACATTTGTTATACAATACTTTGTATATTATGCGAGATTGAAATAACGAGTGACATTTTTTAAAAATTTGATTTTCTATTTATTACTACAAATCTAAGTGCATAATTAGGGAGAAGATAGGGTGAAAAACGAACGGGTTTAAATGAAACAATCAGCACGGAATTTCAGCAAAGATTATAACGAGATGCGAAAATCATACGAATTTCTCGAAGCGATCAATCAATCTGTCTAGTTGACATGCGACAGTGTCTGCTTAGGGGAACGTTGAGAGTCGAACATCAAGCAGTGTCAAACGGTTCTTGTTAACAAGTATATTAAATCCCCATTAAAGCTTTAATCATCTCCTTTTAGTATTTTATATTTTTTGTTATCTTATACATTTTTTTATTATCTTAAACATATAAAGAAATTCGTTTAAAAAATAGAATGCAATTTTCGTATAATCTATTATTTACAATAAAAATCTATACTCGTAATTACATACAATATTTGTATGTAAGAATTTGCATTTCTGCAAAGTGTTTCAAAGTATTGAACAATATTCTTGGCAAAAAATTTAATCAAATGCAAATTACTTGAACGTCCTGCAATTTTAAGAATTAATTATCGTGATAACTAAATTGAAAAAATTAGAAATAAATTTTATTTCTAATTTTTTCGATTTTTGCCCATTTTATTTTAAATAGAGGACAAGATGCTTGATGCCAATTTTGATATTAAAGTTTAATTTATAAAAATCTCGATTTTGATTCTTTAGTAAAAAATTTTATGGATTTTTGCCCATTTTAATGTAAACGAGGTGCCTCTTAATACACTGCCGACCTAAAAGAAATGCGCGATCCCTAAAACGGCCTGTATATTTGATTTCGGCAATCCAAGCTCTTGCTCTTTCCCGCTTGCAGCCGGGCTGCGGGTTTTGAGGCTGCGAAAGAGGTGAACGTATTGTTTACCGACGTTCCATCCCGATGGTTTCATCGCCGAGCGACGATGTCAGCAGAAACGGCGTTGCAAATAAAGTGAGGGAAGTGGAAAAGACCGGGGTCGCGTTCGTTCATGAAATCGCGCGTTGCGTGTTCGTGTTTCCAAGTAGTGAAACCAGCCGAGCGTTCGCGCGGTCGAAAAATTTATTCGTCGCTATAATAGCGATTTTAATTAGACTCTGTCGCGTAATAATTAGCACGCTACGTGTCTACTACTTGAGATTTATCTTTCGATTCTTCAATTGCTCCTGTAATCCTATTTCGCTGAACACTCCAAAGATGAATTTAAAGAGAGAATTATGGAATATATTTACGAATATAATTCGTGACATATAACATATCCGAAATCAACCATTCTTTTATTCAATTTTCTTTCTAATCAATTTTGAATTGATCTTTTCTTTATGAAAACGCATAAATAACTCTGAGAATTGTAAGGAATTGAAAAAAATTGGCTCCCCTCGTAATAAGAGAATTAAATTTTGTAATGTAGTGGAGCTCTTCATTGCAAAGTCGATGCAATTGTCTCATGGCGTTCTTTTTATAATAGAAACATAATATTTAATCGATAAGTTTGAAGAAATATTTTCCAAGCTATCAGCTTTTTTACTTATAATTATTTTTTATTATAATTTCTTCTTATTTTTTTGTATAACAAAATATTTTTAAGTAATTAGATTATACTTCATATTTTCGAAAATACGCGTTATTTCTAAAATGCCAGTGCAAAAGAGAAAATATCATCCACTCGAGTATCACATTAGTTAGCAGACGTAAACAGGGGTTGTAATTTACTTCAGGAAAATTCATTCTTCATAAAATAATTTTTAAATATATTGTGCAATATGTATATTATATTCCATCAGCTATTGATAGAATTTTGTCATTAAAACAAAATTTTATATAACCTTATAATATATTTAGAGAACTGTAAACAATATATAAACATACAACAAAATATTTTTCATCCTCCTAAATTCGACAAATGTTACACTGTGCACATTGATGATGAACGATCTATGTTCATCACAGTATTGCCGACTTATTTATGTATCAATTCTCACTTACCAATCGAAGAATCCATCGACGCGACGAATGACTCTTCAAGTCCAACAAGCGCCTCCTCGGCGCTGTCGATGTCACAGATAGACTTCAGGACTCGCGGGTGCCGGTTGGTGTTGCGGTTGTTGTTGCGGATGTGGCTGTTGGTTTTGGGTTTGGTGCTGTTGCTGTTGCTGCTGCTGTTGTTGCTGCTGCTGCTGCTGCTGCTGCTGTTGTTGCTGCTGCTGTTGCTGCTGCTGCGGCGTCTGTTGTTGATGATGACTGTGATTGTGACTATGATGATGATTCTGCCGCGTTCTCAGCATCTCGTATCTCTGCTTATAAAGATCACGCTCCTGCTGAAGCCGCGCTGCCTCGACTTTCAGACGTTGAATCTCGTTTTGCAGATTTCGGTTAGTGGTCTCGAGATCGTGGCGTTGCTGCAGCCGCTTGCTACGACAATTCTGGGCATAGCCGCGATTCTTCAGGGTCCGCCGCTTTTGCTTCAGTCGCACGACCTTCGCACACGAACCGGAGATTTATGCGATTGAACGAATATAACTATAATACGTATTTATCGTAGACTTTTACAACAAATATTGAAACTAATGTGACTTTGCTGAATTCAAATTTTATTGCAAGCAGACGATAACATACTAGTTATATTTGTTCGTACAATAATATATTAATCAAGGAAAGAAATGTGATTAGCAGAAGATTATTCTTTATTAGCAGTTCACTTTTTTTTTTGTTCTCATCTTCTATATATTGATTCACAAAAGTTCACATCTTTTTACCGTCAAGCTCTAAACTCACTCGTGTTTCATTGGTTTCAATCTTTGACGTAAAATGTCAGTTGCAAAATGCATTCACGCAGACCTCACTCACCTCTTCTCGCGGGCAACCGTGGAGGCGTTTGTTCAGCTCGCGCACGGAAAGCGACATCAGGAGCTCATCGTTCATGAGCTCCTCCTGCGGATTCGAGCCATTGCAATTGGAGTACAAGCCGTTGCCCACACGATGAGCCGGACTCGGGCCGCCGGCGCCGCAAGAGCTCACGGAGCACACGCTCAACGGTCTGCCCGGTTGCATCGGTATCCCCTGCATGCTGTCGTCCATCCCGTGCATCACATTCCCGCCCGCGGGAAGCATCCCTCCACCTGCACCCGGACTGTAATACTCTAGATGACTCGACATTGTCAAGTATCCACCTGTGACAGCAATGTGCGAGCATTAAACTCAGAATGCGTTGGAAAATAGCGAGCTGTATGAAAATCATGCGAAAATCTTGAAGCATCTCTCCTCGAATTGTTTATTTGGTTAAAACAAAGCTAGACAATATTTTCCAGAACGATGGATATAAGAGTTCCAGCTAATAATTTATTAACTTTTAACGATTCTCTTGTGCCAGATTCTATAAAAACGCCTGGAACCGCTTTCTTTACGAGTTATAAATATTATTCCCTTACGACAAGGTTTAATAAATACGCTTCGTGAGTTTAGTATACATCGCGGCTTAATATTTTATGTCAAGCATAATATTGACGACTTTTCGACACAATAAGCAAACTTTTTTTGTACACGACAATATAACTCGCCGAGGAAGCGTGTCTGGACACACTTATCCTATATTTTTTTCGTCCTCGAAGAGCGTAATGCACTTTTAAAATTTGACTATCTATTTCGGCTGACTCTGCATAGAATTGAGCATGGCGTCCGTATTCACAAGCGGCTAGATTATTTTTGCCGTTTCTAAGATGAGCTGACGCTCACCTGTGTGCCTGGTGGATCGCGGCAGCTGCTGCAGCTCTTGGAAGTGATGATGCGCCGACGTGGCCGACCAGGGCTCATGATGAGGCTCCGGGGTGTTCTCCTGGGGACAATGCGGCCTCAGGTCCAGCGGCTCTTGTCTCAGCGACTGCGTCAGCCAGCCCATGCCGCCCGTGCCGATCTGCATCTCTTCTTGCACCAACGCCGCCGGCTGTTGCAGTTGCACGAGTATGCCGCCGCGGACATCGCGCGCGTCCCGGGGATCCCGGTCGCCGCGGTGCAGCTGCAACGGCGGCGGCGAGGCTGAGACGGGCGGCGTGTCCGGCGGCGTGCCCGGATGCGACAATGTAGTGAGGTGCGCCGCGGCGCCCGGCGGCGCCTTCACCAGAACGCCGTGCTGCACCTGAATGTGGGGCTGACCGTACAGCGGATGCGGCTGCTCCAGCTCGTGCGCGGGCGGCGTTAGCGGCGCCAAAGTCAGGCCCTGCGGCTGCACCTGCCCCGGAAGCTGCACCACGCTGCCGTTCACCATTACCGTCGGCGAACTCATTCGTACCTGCAATGCGCCAATTCGTGCCGATGCCTAACAACCTCCAGTCTTGGAATAATGCAAAAAAATCTTCTGTTTTTTTCTATTTTTTGTCATTAATTTTTACGAAGCAGAACAAGAAAATTTCCAAACCTATTTATGCTACAAATAATATCTTCGTAACGATGATTAACGACATAGGTAAAGAAAGGATCAAAGGAATTATTAATCAATTTTCATCAATTTTATTTCACTTTTGATTATTTTTTTCTTTTTAATACAAAAAATAGAGAACAACTAGGAAAATTGAACGTTACAGTTAAATGGCAAATAAATAATATCACCGCGTAATAAACGGCGATATTAGTGCCGATGAATTAACGTTAATGCAAATGAGTTTGCTTAATTGAAATACTCCCGTGTTAATGTGTGTATATCCGCTAATAAATGTCGCATTAGGTTGTTTCTATTTTCCCTCCATTTTATCAGATATGTATACCAGGGTCATTCTTTCGCGAGATGGATTATACAAAACATTTTTAATTTATTACGTTTTTAATTAAACGAAGTGCCATGTCACGTTCTTTCACGAAAGAATAATTATGCATTAACGACACTTGCAAAATCGCGATTCAGGAGTTGATTTATGCACAGTAAATAATGGTTTAGCTTTCACTCACGTACAGCGCTTACTAGGCAGTGTGAGTATGATATAATAACCATATTTATGAAAGTATGTACTGCATGTTTTTTATCTACTTTTTTTTTAACAACATTATTGCAGTAGTTAAGCTGTTATAAAGAATGCTCTTCAACATATCTATAGATATTCCATTTATAAAATTCTTTTTTACTTTATAATAAATTTTTTTTTAGCAAAGACACTTTAGAAAGTCATTCTGGATCACAAACTGTTTTACTCTTTAACTTACGTTTTTGTCAGGACAAATAAATCTTTCGGACTTTAAATTGATTCCGTTTAGTTATATAGAAATATTCTACGTTATTCTTCTCTTTTAAGAAAATTTATGGTACGTGGTTTAAGATTTGGATTCAAATAGATTAATCTTCAAACTTAGAATGGATCTAGAAGGATTCAAAGAAACGGACATATTTACGTAGAGAATTTGGAAAATTTTTTTACAATATGAAAAATGTAAATGTAATTTTGCTATCTTAAACTAATTGTGTAATGAAGTTAATTATAATTTTCAAAGATTTATAGCTTCTTAATGAAAGTTTTGTTTCAAATTAAGATTTTCTTTCAAAATCGATACTCTATGTTAAAAAAGACAATTTCAAAATGAACTATTTTCTGCAAATATAAAATATCTTGTATTTATCATTTTATATAAAAAATTATTTTACTCGAAGAAGTAATGCAAAATAAATACCTAACAAATTTTGCATTTAACAAAAATGTACTTGACATTGCAACTGTGTTGCTGTATTAGTGTTAAAAATAGGGTTATCAGTTAATTTAATGATAATTCTGTATTTAAAATTAAACAGATGAAGCCTTATGCACTTCCATAAAGAACGAAAAGATCAGAATTGAACTTTAAACAATTTTACTTTTCTGTTGCAATAATTTACAATCAAAGTTTTGATTCTTGTATTTACAATAAAAATAGAATTCAGTGATGTTAGAAGAAATGTTAATTAACTTATGTTAAAGATAAGAAAATAATCAAAAATTTCTCTTTCATTTTTCTAATGTTAAAGTAAAATAATGAATACGTGATGAAGTGTCTTTATATCTTATGTATAAAAATATAAGATATAAAAAATAACTTGTAAAGGAGTTTGCTTTTTAATTTTATTTACTTGACCACTGTTATATGCAAAATGAGAATTTGTTATCGTAGAGAAAGTCAGTACAGTTTTGTTTTAAAAATTTGCAATATTTATACTTTGCAGATACTTATTATATTTGCACAAAACTTAGCATTGTAAGAAGTTACACGTTTCTAAACCTCCCAATTTCTTCTCCTTCTGTCATGTTTCGATAATTAATGCCTATAATTTTGTTAAATAATGCAACTGGGAAGAGCTATAGATAAAGTTCTGCTTAAGCCGAGCCAATTTCACTGTGCAAATGATCGTAACGGGGTTTTTACAGCATTATATTGCGCTCACCTCTCGCTTGACGTCGGCGGGATCCAGATGATCGAGAACAAACTCTTGCACGTACTCTCTTGCCAGATGGTCCTCGGCTTCCATCTTAACCTCGTCGACCTCTACCTCCACCTCCTCTACCGCGTCAGTCGTGATCGCATACGTGAGCGTCTCCTGACCGCCGCCGCCGCCGCCACCACCGCCGCCACCGTCACCGTCACCGTCGCCGTCTCCACCTCCGCCACCACCCGGGCAACACGTCCCTGTCGTTTGTTGCGTTGTGACCACCCTCTTGGTCGAATATCTCGCCGAGGAAAAAGTTAGACGGACGACGTGTCCGGACGACGATTCGCCTTGTCACGTGACCGTCACCAAGTTTGTGATTCCGAGTTGCGATGGGATGCTTCTTGCTTTCGCAATAAATTGCAGCGAACGGCGAAAAGTTCACCGCTAAAGACGAACTTGGATGCCAAACTGCCTCGTCCGAAGTGACGGGCTCCGATTTGTTATCAGTGCATGTTAGCCTCGTGATTACGATTGTCCTTGCTTCTGATCTTGTTTCCAATTCTATTTCTGATGCTGATCTTGCCTTGATCACAGTTCTTCTTTCAATGCCGATTTTCGTCGTTACGAGCGCGTTTTACACACGTAAGATCTGTCTGAAAAGAGCGCGGAGAGATAATCGGTTGCACAGATTTAGAGCAAATGACGAATGGATCACAGACGATCTCGCAAAGTTTCTTCTCGCAGAAATGTAATGGCGTCGTAAAGATTCTCTTTTCGCAGATTGAGTGAGAAATTAATCGCTACCGAAGCCCCGCATCGAAACGAAGTTAGGGTAGGTTACGGTTGACGTACGGAATACAGAGCAATAACTCTCAGCTCTTCTTGCAACAATCAATTAAACATGCACTTTTGCATGATACAAAAATTGGAGTAAAAGATAAATCACTTGATTAGCCTGCAAATTTATCCTCTTTGCGATCACACTCTCTTTCTCTCTCTCGCTCTCTCTTTTTATCTCTGTCTTTATCTCTCTGTATCGAACACTGCTCAATTCAGGTCAATTTTTCCACAGTAATCCCGATGTTTGTCACACTATTATCTATCGATATACACCCGCGATCACTGACACTTGAACACTTTTCCCGCCAAAGAGGCGCCCAAATTTCGCGAGCGATCTTTTCGCAAGCAGCCGGGGCAGTCCTTTCCGCGGCTATCGCAATTCAAGTGAATCTTATCTGTTCAGTGGTTTCTCAATTAGTGAGAAGTAACGCGTCATAATTCGACTCCACCCCTCGAAATCGATTTGCGGATCGAACGACGTCCCCGTTGATCCATAGACATATGTTTTTCTTTTTCCTTTTTTCGCCTCTCACGCTCTCAATGAAACCGGCAAAAGCGCAATCGGCGCAACGAAGAGAAAGGGGGGAAGAAAAAGAGGAGGAAAAGAAGAAGAGCGCATTCAGGAAGAAGGAGAAAAAGAGATCGCGTGGCAGACAGCAGCAGATACGCCGTCTGAGTGGTGACTGGTCGGCCGTATGCCGAAAGTAAGTGCAGATCGTGCCTTCGCGCGCAGAACAGTCACGTGACGTCACACGCGAAAGGCGTGGCCGTAAGTTACTCGGTCCTCGCGACGTCCCCCGCGATTGGTGCGTCCCGGATCGTGCCGCCATTTATACACTCCTCCCACATGCCCCACCACGCCGATCGGCGTAAATCTCTCTCGTCGCCGCGCCGCATCGCGCGCGCGGATCCGGTCACCCGAGGTACCCATTAATTTCCAAAGTGATTATTATAATTTTTCAACAGGGGCGCGATCGCTCGAGTCCTATCCCTCACACTGCTCCTTCTCTTTTCCGCCCCCCTTGTGTTTCCCGTGTCTTCGTAACAGCATCCCGGCCGGGGCCGCCTTTTCTCTTCTTCGCCTTCTACGTCGTATCGCGGTTTTTCTCTTCCTTCTTTTTGAATTTCAATTTACTGGCGGCCGGTACGGATGACCTTTTATCTGGTAACCGCGATCTCAATCTGAACGGGACACGAATTTTCCACGCGGATCCTGGTCGGAAGCGGGGACGAGCACGTCGCGTCGTAGACGCCCGCGCCGATGAGGACAGAGAAGGAAGTGTGAGAGAGATAAATAGGGTCCGGAACGGGTGTCAGATAGCTGATCATGCCCGGTTAACGAGATATTACTCCGCCTGTCTGAATCGCCGTGCATCCGAAAGGGAGCATCCACGGGAGCTTTCGTTTAGAGCATGTCGATCGAACGATGCACAAATTGTTTCATAGCTACGAATGATGACACGATTTACAAAATAACGTTGCTCTTCCTTAGCTAAATCTTATATGGAGACATTATTGTTAACTCTATAAACAATACAATTGAAGATATTTTAATATTCATAAATAATTGCTAATTAATTAAAACAAAGATTGTCTATCGAAGAATATATTTTTTATCATTTTTCACATATATTGTGCTAATCGAAAGTACGTCTTTATACATCAGAGAAAGCTTCATTTATTCTTATGTATTATATTTATTATAATATTATTATTATTAGATTACGCATTAGTAGATGATTTTAAAAATCAACACATGTGATTTTTAATAATGAAACTTTATTTTACACACTTCTAACAATAAAATTAACTGTAATTATTTAATCATATGCTATGTATAATTTTAGTTATTTATTAGATTTTTAAAATACACACAATTTTATTTTTATAATATTTTGATTTCAAACTTAACAAATGTGCAATATTATAAATTATTTCTGAGAGAAGATAATAATTCAATATTTAGTGCGTCAATTAAATATACGATTTTGATGATCGCTGCACCATTTGCGAATGACGCGACTATAATTTAGATTCGCTGCAAAATGGCGTTATTCTTCGATTGGCGAAGAAGCTTAAGCGCCGCGAGAGTTTATGCGAAATGACGCAAATCACGGACTCGCATCTAAATAGGTTCCTCTACAAACGTCTACCAATCTACTCCCCCGGTTAGCAGTCCATACTACACTCCTTACCCATTTCTGAGACACCACGACTTTAAAATGCTTCATGAATATAAAATCTTCCTTCTTTTCCCACGTGCCTTTTTATATTTTGCTCTTCTTTAACTTTCAACGTCGCACGGTACGAAGTTTGTTCGGTTTAGAAGGGTAAAAATATTCTACCTGGTTGCATAGAAATAATCTGCATTTTTATTCCGTTTTATAAGATTATTTTTCATTCAAATAAATTAATTTCAAACTCTCAGATTGAAGGAGTTTCGAAAAAATATTGTATATTTACAGAAAATTATTAAAATGAAAAGAAAAGAGAAATTAAATTCATTCTATAATATGAAAAAAATATAGATTTCTTTTTTTAAAAAAATGCTTTTTAATATTAAAAAATATTTTTGCGTTTAAAAAATGTTTTTTATATTAAAGAAAACCAATAAAAGCGAGAACAATAATTATTAAGTGATATCTTAATTCTTAAGTCATTTTTTTAATAATTCTTTTTAGTATTAAAATAAATCAAAATTTACAAGATTTCTATCAATTTCTAATTGTAAAATATGATGAGAAAGTAAGAATACAAAACTAATAAAAATTATATATTATTAAAGTTTTATAATACATCATGTCTTCAAAAAGCGGAGAGAGAATATTAAAGGTGTTAAAAAATAAGAGCGTGAAATGTGAGCGTAAAGATTCAGTTTCTCTTCTGAGAAACTGCAAGTTTAGTAGTTTACAATAATTAAGATGAGTGTACGTATGATATGTGAAACGAGTAAAACCTATAACTTATAAAATTAGATTGAAATAGCATCATTTATTTAACGATGTTAAGTAAATTATTTGTAAAGTATTTTTTTTTCTTTAATACAATACTTTTAATTTGCATTTTAATTACATATTTTTCATTGATGTTTCAATAGATGCTAAAATAAATTTATCGTTCTATGACACATCATATTCGAGCTTAAAACAATAATAAAATAAGTATTTTCTCAATCGTCAAAAATATAATACAAATCAGGCAATAATTAGTAACATATTTATATTACTATTTTTTTGTAACATCAACTTGTTAAAAGAAAATCCAGATCCCCGACTTTAAGGTCTATCCCTGCTTTAACCGGACGTAGCAAGGTGACAGAACCTCGACCAGACAGAATCTTGCCGGTTTAGAGGACGAACCGTCGTCAGGCGTCGTCGTCGAGCGAGAACTCGAAATAGTGACGAGCGAATGACGATAGGTTTGGCCATTTTGTTGAGCGCGAGGAATTTGTCGACGCTGCAGTTCGACATCCTCCGTCCGCCGTTTTCTTTCCGTTTTGCCTTCGCCATTCGTTCGCGCTCGATATACGCGCGCTACTCAATTTCTCAGTATAACGAGTGTCGGAAATTTTCCACTCGTTGAGACATATTAATTGCGCAGAACATGATGTCTGACGATCGCCATATGTAGATACTTATTAAAATTAATAAAATAAAATTAGTTTGATGCGAAACCTTTCTTACATTTGTCAAGTAAAAGTAAAACAAAGATTACACAGTTTTTATTATTATATATATATATTCGTTTATTTATATATTTATTTATTTTACATAACGTTTATTTACGATAGACAAGTAAACAAAATTCCCCATATTTCTTTTCTTTTTTGAAAAGCTTGAATTAGTAATTTTACTTGCATAAACTTCCGAAAACTACTTCGGAATTCAAAATTATTGACATGAGTTAATTTTTATCTCTTTCTTTATTGTTAACAAATAATATTAGAATTACAACAGTTTTTAGTTTTTTATTATTAGGATTAGTATCAAAAATGTCTTCGAAAATTATTCTCATGCCAAAAATATTAAAATGTTTCCAACACTTATCTTACGAGATTTATTTCATCTTCATTCATTTTTCGCTGTAGTTGACATTTACAAAAGTGTTGAATTTACAAATCGTAACAATATTATTTTCTAAGAGAGATAGAGAAAAGAAAAATGCTATAGAATAGATTAAAGTAAAAAACAAGCCATTTTTAAATAAATATTTGAATACATATATAAAGATTCATTATTATTCTATAAATTATCGCGAAAGGAATTTCAAGTATCTGATATTTGAAGATATTTTTTTATCGCAATTATATTTCAATTAGGTTTCAAATAAATTTATCGAATAAATTTTTTTATTTTCTGTTTCTCCATTTACTGCAATCTATTCTATCATATCAAACTCAACGTGCATTTATGTTAATATTTGTTTCCTTTTGTTTCTATATTGCAATGGCAAAAAACATTACGAATTCTGTAAATTTGTTCATGATAAACAGGTGA